GGACTATACATTATATGATTCTTTTTAAGAAACTGGTCATTCTATCAAAATTATACATTCAAAATCAACAACTGTATTTTAAATACTTATCCTAAGAATCATGGAAATATTCAAAGTTTCATGTACATAAAAATTAACCACAAAATTGCTTCTAATAGCAAAATTTAAAATATCCTAGATATTTATTCTTAAAGATTAGTTAAGAAATAACGGAAATGCCATATTATGAAATAGTATGCAGTACAGTAAATGTTGTCAGTGTGAACTATACCGTTAAGAGAAAAGTACAGGTTAGAGAACTGCATGTTTACATATGCTTCTATTTCTACTCTATAATGATTATACCTTCTATCTGCCAATTTGGTGACATGTATACATATATATGTACACACACGAGCTACATTTCAAATGGGTTTTATCTAGTTACCTAGGATGGAGAAGGGTACTTTTTTCCATCTATCTAAAATGGAGAATGGTACTTTTTCAATAAATATGTTCAGATTTTTTTCGAGATGTCTTAATAACATTATACTAATTTAAAAGCACCTAAATACCAATTTAGAACTCCAAATAATGTTTGTAGATTATAGAAGTGATAATGCCAAGGGGTAAAAACAGGAGTGAGAGAGGGGGACTAGAAAGGAGGGACAGGCTGGAACACTGTAGGATTGAGACCAGATCATGAGCTGCTTTGAAAGGGTCTATCTCACAGTGATTCAATTAAAAAAAAAAAAAGGAAGCAGACTAGATGCAGAACAGAGGTACTGAGCAGGAGTCATGGACACTTAGGTGGTATAGAGACGATGTGGCTGTACACATTGAAACTTCTAAGAACCTCAGGGGGTAAAGGGGAGGAACACTGAAGTAACAGCGGAAGGAAACGAATGCTCTAGACAAAGATGTGATGTTGGAACACTACACACACGAAGCCTTATTATTAACAGTATTATAAATCAAGGTGCCTCAAATGATTTTTTAAAAATCTCTAATAGCGAATATTACTGTAAACATGTGCCTCAAACTATAATGATCCAAAATAAAAAATCCTTGATAATGAGGAGGGTGGGTTGGAGCCATAGCACAGTGGGTAGGGCGTTTGCCTTGCATGTGGCCAACGTGGCCGACCTGGCCGACCCAGGTTCGATTCCTCTTCCCCTCTCAGAGAGCCCAACAAGCTACTGAGAGTATTTTGCCCACATGGCAAAGCCTGGCAAGCTCCCTGTGACGTATTCAATATGCCAAACACAGTAACAAGTCTCACAATGGAGATGTTACAGGGCCCACTCAAACAAATCAATAAACAATGGGAGGACAGGGACAGTGACAGTGACAATGAGGAGGAGTGGGATGGAAAGGGACCTTGGGTCACAGGTAAAGAGATGCTGAGAGAGTGGTGGATTTGGACTTGAAACAGTGTATGCCTAAAACTCTCCTATTATCAGCATTATAAATAAAGTACTTATATAGGTATATTTATAAATAAAAAATATTACACCTTGGGGAAAATATATATACAATAGGTTTTTATCTGTAATTATCTGGAAATTCACCATTCAAGATCTCATATGACAGGTATGCTATGGGGTACTTTAAAAGCACTATGTAATTTAATTCTTAAATTATTATCATTTCTACTTTATAGATGAACAAACTATTTAAAGAATTGTTATGACCAAAGAGATAAGATATGGATTAAAGCAGTTGCCCCACATGCAAGCAAACCCAGTTCCATCCCTGGCATACATGGTTCCCTCATCCCTTATGACCCCCTCCCAAGCAAATATGATCCAATCTTCCCAATCCCTAAAAGAGAGAGCGGCTGCGGGGAGAGAGAAAACTATATAAAGTCTCATTCACTAGTAAACATAGTCATGTTCTGAACTCCAATCTGCCTATAGCAGTCAAGAGAAATCTGAATGGAAAAGCCTTAAAAGAATGAGACTGGACATCAGTCAAGAGACCAGCTGCCAGAGGACACAGGGCAAAGTGTACATTAGGGCAGCACAGTCCAAACTAGCAGGGAAAGATGAGAGAGAGAGAGAGAGAGAGAGAGAGAGAGAGAGAGAGAGAGAGAGAGAATCAAGTTATTTTGGACTGCAAAGTTGGACTGCAAAGTGTACTCATTCTAGATTGTAATATTAAAACACACGCCAGCATGTGACGGGTACCTAGTCTGATACCTGGCACTGCATGAACCCTGAGCATCGCCAGGCATAAAAAACCAAACTGGCAGGCATGTGCTGCCAGGCCAAGAATGGCCCAGGCAGCTCCTGGGCAGCAAAAGCACTGCTGGGAATGGCCGCTAGCAAAGAAAAATAAAATCTAACAACTAGGTAATACGGAAGAATAGAGTCCTGAGTAGATTAGGAATACATAAAGCAATATTTTAGGAAAGTCAGAAGCTGAGTAGCCTATAAAGTAGCCATTCATTTATTGAAGGTTTTACTTTCCTTCATTTAAGTTATCAGCAGTCAAATACAACCTGAACATATAAGAGATACTGAGAGAGACAGAGAGAAAGCACACATACAAGTAACAGTGCACTGCTATAATAGTTATACTTGCTATTAGGTATTACTGCTAATCTTTTACTGTTCGTAATTTATAAACTAAACTTTATAAAGGGTATGTTCCTCTAAGGTACTACCTGTGACATCACACATCCACCGAAGATCTTGAAAAGTATCTCTCTCAGGTAAGAGAAAAGATAGTGTATTGCAATAGAGAGTGAGGACAGAAAGAAGAGTTGGGAACTGACACAACAGTTAAATTTTTGCACCTTGACTTGGTTAGCAGCTTTGGAAATGAATGAAAAAATGTATGAAAGAACCCACTAGTAACAGCTGCATATTAGACTAGAGATGAATGAGGAAAACAAGAGCAAAGAGTTAAGAATCATTCTAAAGTTTCATCTGGAGGAAGCTAAGATGCTGGTATCACTGACAGAATTGAGACGATAAGAGAAATGTAATTATAGGAGATAGCACTGTAGCACTGTTCTCCCGCTGTTCATCAATTTGCTCGAGAGGGCACCAGTAATGCCTCCATTGTGAGATTTGTTAGTGTTTTTGGCATATCGAATACGTCACGGGGAACTTGCCAGGCTTTGCTGTGCGGGCAAGATACTCTCAGTAGCTTGCCGGGCTTCCAAGAGGGGCAAAATAATCAAACCTGGGTCGCCCACATACAAGGCAAACCCCCTACTATCACTATTGTGCTATCACTCAGGCACAACTATAGGAGATATTAAGGAAAAATATATTAAAATATGGTGCTAACAAGGAAGTTCCTGCTGCAGACACACAGAAGTCACTTCTGATGGCCCAGACTGAGCAACTTCACTTTTGGTTGTCATCCTTATAATAAGATATATGACCAGTCTTAAGTCAACAACATAACATATCATTTGTACAAATGACAAAGATAAGACATCTTTTCAAGGATATAATCTAGAATTACTCACTGTCTTACTCCCTACATCTATTTGTAATTCCCCAAAGAAAGACTTTTGTTGAATAAGCAGTCAATGTGGATTTTCAGGCTCAACTCTCTTTAAAAAACAAAGAACCACTCTCTTCCTGATTTTCATTTACTCTCAAAAATCTCTTTGTCTGATTTGTCGCAATTTTCTACTGTAGACTTAACCAGACTATTTATTATTTATTATTTGCCATAATTTACTATTTATTGTTTTCCTGGTTGGCCTTTATCATTCATGCTTACTTTTCCTAATTTCCATCTTAGAAAAAAAGGAGAAAGTCTGAAGGACAACCCAGAAGATAACTTTCAAAGGATAAATTATTACCAAAGGAAAATTATTACTGGGCTAGAGCGATAGCACAGCAGGTAGGATGTTTGCCTTGCACACAGCAGACTCGGGTTCAATTCCTCTGTCCCTCCCGGAGAGCCCGGCAAGCTACCAAGAGTATCACTCCCCTATGGCAGAGCCTGGCAAGCTACCCTGGTGTATTCAATATGCTAAAAACAGTAACAACAAGTCTCACAATCGAGACGTTACTGGTGCCCGCTCGAGCAAATCAATGAGCAAAGGGAGGACAGTGTGACAGTGCAGACAGTGCTACTATTTTCTTTTTCTTTCTTTTTTTTTTTTTTTTGCAAGGGAGGATACTCAGTATTGCTTGGAGTGGCTTCCCCATGCAAAGCATGTGCTCCAATCCTCTGGGCTATCTCCTTAGCCAGGCTAAGTTATTTTCAAGTTTAGTTTCGTTATGCTATGGGCTGACATTAATAGCAATAACAATAGCAATAATAAACCAAATTACATAATTATGAGTTACTAACCAAATACACTCAATTTGGTTTGGTACAGTTTACTAGCATTTGAGCTAGTAAATGCAAAAACATGGCTTAAGTCTCCTAGAAAACTCAAAGTCTTCACCTCCTTGGGTAATCCCAGAGGTCCTATAAGAATCTAAACAGTGCTAGAGAGCTTCCCTTATCTTGCATGGAACCGACCCAGGTTTGATCCCGGGTGCCACATAAGGCTCCCTAAGAACTGCTAAGAACTGCTAGGAGTGCACAGAGTCAGGAATAATTCCTAAGTACAGCCAGGTATGTCTCACATACTGAAAAATAAAAATAAATAAAGAATCAAAACACAGCAGTAACCCAAGAGTCCAGTGGCCACTGTGGGTCTACTGTGCACTGCCCACAACAGCACAGTTCATCCTGTTCCAAAACACCTTATTACATCTTCAAATACTGATAACAGTATCAAAAACATAAAGGACAAAAAAATAAGCAGGATAGATATCCTACTTTAATTGCAAATGAAAGACTATTTTTAACATAATACATTTAAAACAATACTATTCACAATTCGGTGCAGATGGAATTCAGAAAAAAGTTTTTTAGAACCCCATTTTAACTAAAGAAAGGAAAAATATTCAGTGGACTTAGATTTAAAGGCAATAAACAAATTAAGTTTTTTGTTTGACTGAAAATAAAATCTCAAGACTCTATATAGAAAAACAAAGTACCTGTGAGTTTTATTTTGGAGAGTCGAGCCAAAATTCCTGGTAAACTGTCCACATGTAGCTTCATCTCTTTCCACTGATTTTCATCTCTCTGTTGTCCAACTTCTACGGTGCTTTCAATTATTGAAGCAGATTCTAGTTCAATCACTTCCTTTTCATTTGGTTTTCTGGACAAAGATAGGCTTGGGGATGAAAGAGGTCTCATCTCATATATTTCAGCTTTGCCTTCATCTGAAGAGATTTTTTCAAGTAAAGGAGATGATGACACTGGTTCTGGCTTTGGTTTAACTTGCTGATTCAGACTTCTGTTCAGTTGTGTGACATACTAATTAAAAAAGTATACATCATTATACAACCAACACCAAGAAGCTATTAAATGGGTTGTTAAGTAAACAACTTCCATTATCCCAGATTATATGGTACTTAAAAGATTTTATAATATTTAAAAGAATAAGTGACGAATTATTAAAGAGGCTTTCTTACATGGAAATAACTATACCATGAGATAAAATATGATTAAGGACTAGAATGGTTTGCAAATTCTATGGTCAAAAAATTACTAGAAATTTAAGTTTCATTGAAGAAAATTATTCATCTCCTCTAGAATTTCCCCCCACTATAGTGTTAGAAAATGGGAGTTCAACAGTGCCAATACAACAAAACGTTTTCGATAATCAACAGTCAAATTAAGTTCTTGACACTATAGTGTTAGAAAATGGGAGTTCAACAGTGCCAATACAACAAAACGTTTTCGATAATCAACAGTCAAATTAAGTTCTTGACATTTAATTTTTCCAACAAACAACACAAAGAGGAGTTCAACAGCAGGACATAATCCAGTACTAAGTGACATTACAACAGTGTATTTGTGGAAAGAAATGTGGATGTTAGAGTCAGTCTCTATAACTTAGAAGCAAAAAAGTAATTACTACTGTTTTTTTATATAAAAAACTTTATATAGTTTTTTTCCCAAGATATATCTTGAGAGCTGATGCATTATATTTCTCTTTTAATCTCGACAATTGTTAAGTTTAAAGATGATAGTTGATTTTGTTTGTAGTAAAGGGGGATACCTAGATCACCTTTTTTTGTTTGTTTATAAAGTTACAAAGTTGTTTACCATAGGTTCTGATCATACAATGTTCCAACATCCTTCCTTTCACCAGTGTACATTTCACACTACCAATGCCCCCAGTTTTGCTTCTTCCATCCACAACCACCAGTCTGCCTTTACAGCAGGCACTTTTCTTTTCTCTGTCTCTCAAAGATGATAATTATTAGTATTTTCTTTTAAGTTTATAAATGAAAAACTAAGCAGAAATAAAGTGACGATTTCATCAATAACAGAGACTTGGAGTCATCTATCATGAAAACTAAACTAGTAACTTTTCTATTATATGACAAAAGTTTGAAAGTAGTCTTAAAGAAACCAGTCCAAGGGAAAATGATTATAAACACATGAATAAAATGAGGGTTCTGTTTAGATTTTTCTAAAAAAGTATTACACACATTTGAGGGTGTTTTTTTAAATATCCATTATCCTTAATCCTCAACTAACAAGTCAACATCTCTAGAGAATTAAATATCATTAAAACTATTAGTATTATTAATATTTTAAATTAAAGAGGCATTTTAAGTTTAAAAGGATGACAGAAATGCCAAATAGGAGTTCAGATTATGTATTCACTATTCTTGCATGCTTATTCTATAATCATTGTAGTCATCATGTCTACTTCCCATAGAAAATAGATCCTTGTCGGGGCGGGAGTAATAGTAGGCCACTTGCCACGCATGTGGCCCATATGGGTTCGGGTTCAAACCCCAACATCCTATATGGTCCCCTGAGCCCCGCCAGGAGATCCCTGATGCAGAGCCAGGTATGGCCCAACAACCAAAACATACAAAAAATAGATCCTTCTCTATTTGAGAAAATGGCAAATGCCTTCCTTCAGTGGTCATATTTAAAAAGCCCAAAACATCATGGAGCCAACCTAGAAAAAGGTCTTCAAAAGGATGGAAATACATCGTCAAATCCACGCTAAAATGCCTAGCATTACAAAAACTCTAAACAACCCTACTCAAAACTACATATGTTTAAAATACTTTCAAATGCAGTGCTACTATATGAAAACAGGACACCGGTACTGTTATTATAAGCAATTATTTTTGTCATACCAAACTGAGGGAACTTTAAAGAATTTTTTTAAAGGTGCATTGAGTTCAGTTAAAAATAATATAAGTAACAGATTAAAGTGTTGTATAAACTTAAGAGAACTACATAAAAGTCCTATTTTCAAATATTGAACATTTCAAATTCCCACATACAGAGAAAGAAAAGGCAGTAGCAGCAGAGTAAGGAAGGTTTTCTGAACATACCAAGCGCTTCAGAAAGTTGAACCGTTGAACTGTAAGCCACCGCTTATTGGCAGTCCTGAAAAGGTGCAAGAACTTGTGAGGGGATTCCTGCACAGTTCTCCTCTCCAGACGCCAGACACATCCTCCTACCCCACCTATGGAGAAAAAGAAAGGGAAAGTATTCAAAATTCCTACCTACTGATAATTGTATTCACCTAAAAGCAAAAAAGTTCACTATACTAAGAACAACATATTTGGTAAGGTCAGAATTTTGAAATGACCTAATACAGATCTGCGAAAAATTACAAGGAATTAGCCCTGCTCACTGCTTAAGTCAGCATAATGCATTAGAAGGACTAGAGAAATTTATCTTTTCAGGACAACTGTGCTTTTATTATATGAACTGCTGGAATGAACACACTGTAAACTTTTCTAAGAATAATACAGAAACCACTTTATAAAAGTAAAAAATGAGAAGCACAATTTTTCTGAAAAAGTAACTGGTGTGCTGGAAGATGGATTTCTGATTAATGTTCTGCTATGTCAAATACAAGATCTGACTAAAATAGAACATTAATTCCCAATAAATATAACAATCAGTCTTGTTAGGAAGAAATTATTTTTGTTTCAAGATTTTAGCTAATAGATCTTTCAAATTTCACAGAACACAATGCTTCCATTTTAGACCTCCTATTATTCTAGTTTTCAAAAATACAAGAAATTCTTCCTTTTCTTTTAAGTCTATAAAGGGACCAAATAAAGGGCCTTTGCCACTTTCCTTGTCAATTTCCGAAGATATCTCCTCTTACTGTACTGCCATGTGAAGGGAGTTGTGTACCCAATTAATAAAACAGCTGGAGGCCAGAGCAACAGTACAGTGGGCATAGCATTTGCCTTGCTTGCAATCACCTATGTTTGATTCCGAGCATATTCCATACCATATGTTCCCCCCAACTGCCCCTCTCCCCACAAACTCCGAGGCGCCCAGCACTACCAGGAGTGATTCCTGAGTGCTGAGTCAGGAAAAACCTCAAAGCATCTCAGGGTGTGTCCCCCTCCCCCAAAAAACAGATAAAGAAAAAAATATATATAGCTTGTACCAAAGCAAACACAAAGTATAGGGTAATTTCTAATATTCAACCCATTTCTAGAGTCACTATGTCTTTTCCAACTGTTCTTTACTAATAATTTAAGAACTCTTTATTCTTAAGCTTACCTTTGCTCAGTACTGCAGACAAAACCATTACCACTTAAGATGTCAAGTCATCCTGAACTCTATTTTCACATAATCAACAAGTCTAGTCAATTGAAATATCTTTTTTCCATTCCTAGTACAGACCCTTACCATCTTACATTTGGAATACTGTATTACAGGATTTAAACCATGCACGCTGACCTCAGGAAATTTCCTTTCTTCTCCAATTTAAGTATCATAATTTTACTCTTCAAGTCCAGAATACATATATTCACCCAAACATGACATATGCACACTGCCAAAGTGCTCCTCATCCTGAACTACACATAACACACATTTCACAGTTTGTTAATCTTATATGGTTTTTTGTTTGCTCTGTATCTTGACTTAACTCTGCTAAACTTTAGAAATCTTTTAACTACTTTATCACGTTATACTTTTCATGGCACTTTTTAAGGCAAATTGTTTCTACCATCAAGTTAACAGCAGAGACTCTCCTGTATTCCTTTGCTGTAAATGCTAGCAGAATGGTCTCTATGGAATAAAAATGTTTAATGACTGAATTCTCATGTAACTTAAACTGTAGGGAAAACTACCACTATACATGAAATACAGAGCAGTTATCTTAGGTTTAATTCAATTAGAGGGTGTCCTTAATAATTATAAACCTCAATAATTATAAAATGCTTTTTTTTCCACATATATGAATGTGTTGACTACACATGACAACAGCACTGAAACCAGTCATCTGACTAAAACTGCCTTTGAAACAAGTGTTCTGATTAATTCAGCTTATTAATTTTTTTATGACTGTATTTGTGCCTTCAATTGTTCTTTGTGATAAAAGGATCCAAATGTCTAGATTTCACTCTTTTTTTGTTCTGGGTCATAATTTCAGTTTTGAGCTGTTTGGTTCAATGAGACATGCCTAACACTAGAAAAGAAAAAAGAAAACCTTGGAAAATACCTCATGATTGAGATGGCATGTGAGATTTTATTTGAGAAGAGAGGGCAGAGCTGGGAGCCAGACCCAGGGATCTCAAGGACTTACTACTGGGTCCATGCTCAGGAATCACTTCTGGCTCTGCTCAAGGACCTTATGTGGTGCTGGGATGGAACCAGGGTTAGGCACAAACAATGCCTTATTCCTTGTATCTGTCATTCAATATGAGATTTTTTTAAGAGTTGAAAGGAAAAAAAGCTAGCAAATTAATAATATTTTCCATAATGAAAATATTTTATTTAGTCAAAATTTCACATTTCTATGAAACATTGGCTAGACATTTCAGCAATAGACTTGAAATACATAAATGACACATATATTTGAATTATATTCTCAAATATATTTTTTCAAATATAAACAGATCTCATTTTAAAAAACTTTAAATTTGATCCTATCTTCCATGTACCATCAACATTAGATTTGTAGCACTTTTTCAATGAGAATAGCAGATAATAATTTGAACTTTTAGAAGCAAAATCAGATATGATCACAGAATACCTAATATATTGTCCCAGTTTACCTCACCAGATAAACTCATGTAAGTTCATGTAGTAGATCTTCTAAGTAAATGATAAGTCAATACTAATTACTTACTGGTAAGAGTATTATTTTTGGGGGTGGGGGGCTATGTTTATAGCTTTAAGGTGCTATTAATTTCTTCTAAAACAGCATAAAATTTAATACAGGGGATAAAGACACTGTATATTGAGTAGGGCACTTGCCTTCCTGAAGCAGTACCGAGTTTGATCCCCAGCATACTATACAGCTCCCTGAGCCCCACCATGAGGGACCCTTGAGCACAGAGCCAGGAGTAAGCCCTAAGCACTGTATCACTTTGGATGGTCCCCAGAACAAATAAACAAAAAAAGCTGTTATAGCAAGAAACCAAGTGAATCCCACGCATCCCACTAACTGAAATGGGGAATTCTATGCAAAGCCAAGTGAAGCTGTATTATGTAGCACTGTCCTCCAGTTGTTCATCAATATGCTCGCACGGGCAACAGTAATGGCTCTATTGTGAGACTTGCTGTTACTGTTTTTGGCATATCGAATATGTCACAAGGAGCTTGCCAGGCTCTGCCCGGTGGGCGTAATATTCTCAGTAGTTTGCTGGGCTCTTGGAGAGGGGCGGAGGAATCGAACCCAGGTCCGCCTCGTGCAACTGCAAACGCCTTACCGGCTATGCTGTTGCTCCAGCCCAAGCTGTACTATAAAAAGCTAAAAACACAAAATTGAAAGGCAGAAAAGCAACTAACTTAAGGATGATCTTGGAAATGCCTCCATAGAGATTATAATTCTAGCACAAAAAAAAGGTAAGCTCTCTTAACAATGAGAATCTAAACTCAAGATCAGGGCAATACTTTGAGGCAGTCAGATAGATAATGAAGAAGTAGTTCAAAAAGAATCACAGACCTTTAAAAAAACAACAATATTTTCGCAAAGGAAAATTTCATAAGAAGACTAAAATTAAGTCTTTTTATTAATCCCAAAGCTTCAACAATGTCCAAATCATGGCCAGTCATTTCATCTGCACTCCCTCCCATTGCCACCTCTGCCTTCTGATTTCTGAATTTGTGGGTCACTCCCGAGTTGGCTTACTGAATGGAGAGGCCACAAAACTGTGCATTGGAGGAGTTCCTGAAAGTCCAGTCCACTTCTCAAGCAAAAGGGTCCTTAGTGGAAAAGGGTAGGGCATTTGCCTTGCACGCCCAGCCGACCCTGGTTCGGTTCCTCTGCCCCTCTTGGAGAGCCCGCAAGCTACCCAGAGCATCATGGCAAAGCCTGGCAAGCTACCGGGGAATTATTGATATGCCAAACAGTAACAAGTGTCACAAGTGAGACATTACTAGGCCTGCTCAAGCAAATCAATGAACAACGGGAGGACAGTGACAGTGGAAAAGGCTGACACAGTCCTGTTCTACATCCCTTTCTGGCTGGAACTGAAGAATCCTAGTAGATTTTTCTAGTTCAATCGTCTAGTGTTACAGATAAACTAAATCCAAAAAAAAAAAAAAAAACCCTCAAATGATTTACCTGGAGATGACAAAGACCAGAAAAAAAAACCCTCAACAGTATAATATTGCAAAATAAAATGTTAGTCACAGTGCTGGAGACTACCAGATGCAGTCAAGAGCTTTCGGGCAGTGCCACTTGAAATTTTCTGGGATTTAAACCAGAATGGGAGCTTGAACTCTGGATCTCCAGTACGAAGGGCCAAGGGCACCCTGCTCAAATCACAATCGGTCACCACGCTGAAAACTACGAGGACAAAGATATTGCACTTTCTCGGTATTTCCAACAGGCCAAACCTGTTGGAAAGCATTTGTCCACAGATAAGGATTCCCAACAGAGAAGGTGCCCGGACATTTCACCGGGCGCAGGGGCCGGGCGGGGGGCTTGTCACGGTGAGAGTTCCCGCCGGGACACGGTGACACACGCCGGGCTCCGCCGCGGGCAGCGGGGCTCCCCTCAGGGCCGGCGGGCCCGGGGTCAGGCGCGCGCGGGAGAGCGACGGGCTGCGGGCCCGGCACGCGGTCATCACGGTCACCGAGCTCCGGACGCGGGTGGTCTGGAGCCGCCTGGCCCCAGAGCCGACGGTTCCGAGGCCCGTCCCTGCGGAGAGGGCTCGGCGCTCCGGTCCCGACGGTTCCGAGGACACGGCGCTCCGGTCCTGACAGGCCAGGCCGATGCCCCGCGGCGGCGCGCCCGACCCTGCCCCTCCTCAGCCCAGCTCGGCCCCCAGGGCCCCGGGCTGGACCGCAGGCGCTCGGACCCGCCCGCTCTCCTCCGGCTCCAGAGAGGTCACCCGCCCGCGGCGCCCGCCGGCCTCGCCCAGGTTGGCTCTCAAGGTTGCGGCCGGGCGGACGCGAGTCCGGCACGTGGAGAAGAGAAAAGTCTCCCCAGGGCCGTGCTGAGAGCGGGCGCAGTACCTGTCAGGAGGCGTGAGGAGAGAGTGCGGGGGGCTGCGGCCATGACGCCCACGTCTGGCCGCCTCCGAGTTCCCCGTGTCCTCCCTCCTCACCGGCCACAGGGCGCCGCCATCTTCTTTCCCCGCCCTTTAAGGAGGTGCTTCCGGTGCGCAACTTCCGGTACAGGCTGCGGCTAGGAGAGCTGAATGAGCTGCGGCGCCTGGCCGACCGGAAGCCCGTAAGAACCCGTAGGTCTGCCGTCTCCCTGAGTGAGGGAGGACGGCCCGGTGCGTCAGTCAGAGCCGCGGGAGGGTGGCCCGGCGCTCCCCGCCGCCCTGACTGACCGAGAGAGGACGGCCCGGCGCGCACCAAGAGCGGCTCCCCAGACCTCGGGCTGCTCCTCGGTTCCCGGCACTGAGGAAATGGCCTTCGGCCAGGCATTGGTCTGGTGTTTCCTGTCAGAAGGAAGCACCGACGAGCTCAGGTTGCTTATCGGAAGGGAATCACCAGAGTGTGCTGATGCCAGAAACGTGTGTGGGGGGTAAGATCTGCGGGAAGTGGAGGGAGACCTGAACTTGAACCCAGCCCCAACCAACTGGCCGCTCGGGTGAGTGATCTTCCTCAGTGACGGTAGGTGTTCTATGGCTGAGGGGAGTGGAGGACGTCGTCCGGGCGTCCTCAGGAGACTGCGGTCAGGGTCCACGCGAGTCGCGCCTCCTGGACTGTGAGGACAGAGCAGATCTCAGTGACCTTCCCTCCTCCCGGGATTCTTGCAAGTCCTACCAGCAGACCACCGGAAGAACACGTTCCAGCTTTGAAAAAGAAAAGCAGTTGAGTTCTGAAAGACCTGCAGATCGCCTTCAGTGATACTCCAGCAGCTCGGATTGACCTCAGCCCCCGAAGGGAAGCTCAAGGATGATGGAGACTCTGGGGACTCTGGATTCTGCAGAAGTTACATAACAGAGTCAAATTGTTAGTAACCAGAGTCAGTGTCCTGAAGAAAGTGTTGCAGAAACCCACGTAAGGTTTCGTGATTTAAAAGAGCAGTAGATTTGTTTTCCTGTCTAAAAGAAAGGAAAATAATAGTCCATATGAGAAAATTGGAACTGTATCTGTGCAAAATTTTTTCAAACATCATTCCATGTGTGCTTTCATAAACATTTGGTGTTTTTATTCCTAGCAGAAGGTGTCTTCTATTCACAACCACTCCTATGCTCTTTTAAGAGTTACAGCTGCTAGGGGGCACAACAGGTAGGGCGTTTGCCTTGCACGCGTCCAACGCAGGTTTGATTCCCAGCATCCCATATGGTTCCAAGAGCACCGCCAGGGGTAATTCCTGAGTGCAGAGCCAGGAGTAACCCCAGTGCATCTCTGGGTGTGACCCAAAAAGCAAAAAAAAAAAAAAAGTTATATCTGCACAAAGTTAATTAACTGCTCCTTCCAAAGCCAGAGCCAGAATCCCTGCAGAGTAATTTCTACCATGCCATATCCTTTACTTATGTGATTTAGGTAGAGATAAGGCGCTTACCTTGCATATAGCAAAACCTGATTCATCCCTAGCACCACACATGGTCCCTGAGCACCACCAGGAGTGATCTCTGAGCATAGACAGGTGGAAACCAAAAAACTACACAAAAAAAGTACAGCTGTGATTTGTAAAACATTTTATATCAACTGTGCTTTATATGCAGCAGTGTTTTAAATTTTTCAGACTTAAAAATTACACATGCTGAATCCAGAGAACTAGGGTCGAGGAATGAGGGACTAGGAAGGAAGAGAGGAGAGACAAGAGAGTTGAAGAGAGATGAGAGAGCGGCAGGGCGGCAGGATGGAATGGAGAGACTAGCAAGGGGGACAGAAAGAGGAGAATATAGAAGAATACAGGAGCAGGCATGTGGAGAGAGAGAGAGCCCAGGCTGCGAGATTGAGTGCAGAGGGATGAGCCGGAGAGATAGGAGCTGGGAATGAGGGGCAGTGTGAAACTAGAATGGGTGATGCTCAGAGAGACTGGAGCAGACTCGTGGGGAGAATGAAATAAACGGCAACTCAAAAAAAATTACACATGCTTAATTCACCTCCACATCGATTAAATCAGGATATGGAGTAATTTTAAAGATGCATAATTTATTTTGTATTCTTTAAATTATTACTGAAGCAACCATCATAGTTGCAGTACTTTACGGGTACAATGTTAATGTACCGTACAATGTTAATGTACCACACTCACCACCAAGGTGTCAATATTGTGCCTCTAGAGTTTTTCTCATCATGCTCTTTCCTTCCCCTATAATCTGTTTTATTATCAGAGACCAAGGATATTTGTTACTTAATGTTCATTTTCTGTTCCATATCTTTCTTGCTTTATAGTCTGCACATAAATATGATTATTTGGTGTTTGTATTACTTCACCTAATATACTTAGATCTATCCATAACGATGAGGCCAAATGCATATTTTTAGAGCTGTGTCATATTCTGTACCACAGATGATTTTGAAAGCTGAAATTCTGGACAAATTTTTATTTACATACTCAGAAAATATGAATTCCAAAGTTCTCTTGGTTTAAGATAGTCACAAAGTTGAATAGATATCTTTCTCTTTGACGGTAGAATTTTTCCTGTAATTTTAAATCCTGCCCCAAACTAGGGGCAAGTTCTAATCAAGTTTTGGGATAAATTTTTATCTGCTTAAGAGTAACCAAAGTAGCTGTTGTGGGAGAAATGCCTAAAAGATAAATGCATTCTGCCTTGTCAAGAACTGCACTCATCTAATTTGCAATTAAATTAATCTAGGTAAATAATTCCAAAAGTAATCCCTGGAAAGAAGAAAATTTCATGGCCCAATACATTGATTTGACAGGGATCTGAGAAAACTGGAATTGTGGTGATCAACTTTGGCCAGTTATTGAGGAAGAGAGCACAAAGAAGTGGTTACAGACAAAGGAATGGGAGTGACTCGGGAGCACTGTGATGGGTGCAACCTGATAAACCTAAGCTCCTTGTATTCCAACAGACTTAGACATAATAATGTACCAAATAAAACTTATGTTAAGAAGAGAATATATTTTAAATTAGCAACTACAAGTCTGCACAATATTGTTGAGCCTAGTCTAACACATTTTGAACATGTCTCATTTTGTAGAATACTGAAAAACATGGGTGATTTTACTCAAACAGCCAAACATAAATAATTAGAGGGATTGGAATATGTACATACTGATGATTTATACATTTACTAAGGTGAATCAAAATTCCTGATTTAACTTTCTTTAGGCTTACTTTTTCTGTGATAGCACAGCGGGTAGGGCGTTCGCCTTACAAGCGGCCAACATGGCCGACCCGAGTTCGATTCCTCCGCCCCTCTCGGAGAGCCCGGCAAGCTACCGAGAGTATTCGATATGCCACACACAGTAACAACAAAGTCTCCAATGGAGACGTTACTGGGCCCGCTCGAGCAAATCGACTTTTTCTGTACAGATTTTCTTAGAAAATGTCGCATATTCTCAGTGTAGATTAAAATGTTTTGTAGAAATGGACCTGAGCTGTGAATATTCTTTAACCCTTTCATTTTTATAAATTTGGAAAGCAGTTCAGAGAGGATAGCTAATTTACTCAGAATGTTGTCTCCAGAGGGTTGCAGCAATAGTACAGCAGGTAGTTTGCCTTGCACGTGGCCCACCTGCTTTGATCTCCAGCATCCCATATAGTCTCCCGAGTACCACTAGAAGAATTACTGGGTGTGGCCCCCCGAAAAAGAAATGTGTCTCCAGGATTCCAGCCTGGCATTTCCCCCTCTCATATCTATATATAATTTTTTTTCTTTTTCTTCTCTCTACATACCATATTTTTACTACTGAAGTGATGTAGGGTTTCACATTACATGTTTTTGACTTCTTTCCATTTCCAGTAAATGCCAGTCAACTGATAAGTGGCTAAGTAAGATGGTTCTCCGGACTCCTGCATACAAGTCTTATAGTCTAGCCCTTTTCAGCTATCTCCCTGTCCAGTCTTTTCCTTTTTCTGTTTATTTTTTTTAAATTTTTTTAATTTTTATAAGTTAGGGTTGTAATATTTTGTTTTATTTTATTTATTTATTTTTAAAGTTGTTATTAGTGAAACACCATGAGACACAGTTGTAGACTTACAAACTTTCGTGCTTGGATTTCAGCCCGGCAAGCTACCGAGAGTATTGGATATGCCAGACACAGTAACAACAAAGTCTCCAATGGAGACGTTACTGGGCCCGCTCGAGCAAATCGATGATCAACGGGAGGGCCTTTACTTTACTTTTAATGATTAAGTACCCATCCCTCTACCAGTGCCCATTCTCTACCACCAATGATCCCAGTAACCCACCCACCCCCAGCCCACCCCCTTCCCCACTCCACCCCACCTCTGTGGCAGGGCATTTCTTTTGCTCTCTCTATCCTTTAGGGTGTTGTGGTTTGCAATAGAGATATTGAGTGGCTGTCGTGTTCGGTCTGTAATCTACTTTCAGCATGTATCTTCCATCCCGCGGATCCTCCAAACACCCTTTACTTGGTGTTCCCTTCTCTAACTGAGCTGCCTCCTGGTAGTTATCTCAACTGTTCTTGGCTGTTAGTCTCCCATCATGTTACTTTATATTCCACAGATGAGTGTAATCTTTCTATGTCTGTCCCAGTCATCTGTTCTCAGGCACTCAGGTTTTTTCCAGATTTTGGCTATTGGAAACAGTGAAGCAATGAACACACAAGTGCAGATGTCATTTCAACTATACTTTTTGCCTCTCCGGGATATATACCCAAGAGTGGTATTGCTGGGTCAAATGGGAGCTCAATTTCTAATTTTTGAGAATTGTCCATACTGTTTTCCAAAAGGGCTGAACTAGTCAGCATTCCCACCAACAGGGAATGTTCTTTTGGATGTAGGCCAATCTCTGTGGTGTGAGGTAATATCTCATTGTTGTTTTGATCTTCAGCTCCCTGATGATTAGTGATGTAGAGCATTTTCTCTTGTGCCTTTTTGCCATTCAGATTTCTTCTTTGAGAAAGTTTCTGTTCATTTCATCACCCCAGTTTTCGATGGAGTTGGATGTTTTCTTCTTGTGGAATTCAACCAGTGCCTTATATATCCTTGATATCAACACCTTATTGGATGGG